ATCATTTAATTTTAATACGAGATTCAAACAAGTGGTTTCGATTAATTTTTTATTTAATCCAATCAAACATAATCTGTCATATTAATTATTGATTATTTATTACTAATAATGATAAATAATCCGATATAAGGATTTGTTAGATTCTATAATTCGAATAAAATTAATGTTAGTAACGATTTTAATGATAATTATATAAAGATGTACGTATAATTATAATAGTAATTAATTACGATTATAAACATATTTCCTTAAATTTTCATAAACTTCGCAAAAAATGTATGAAAATTTTATGAGCAAAAACAGAAACCTGTGTACACAAACATGCAATCATTCTTAAAACATACTAATTAAAAACTACCCAACTTTCAGTTCCAATTTCATAAACGATAACTGAATCCAATATTTTACATCAAATAAATAAAACATTCTCCACGCAAAAATTTAAAAAAATCCACAAAACCTTGCTTCAAAATTAGTTACGTTTCGAATTAAAAAGTGACCAACAAAAGAACGTCAAACTCTTCTAAAAATCCTGTAATCCTGACAAAAACTTGGAATCGTAGAGTAATTAAAGTTTCCTACCTAATCACATTTCCTTACACAAACACCATTCTCGACAAAAGTTGCGCAACAGTCCAACAGTGAAAGCAAAAAAAAGAGAGAGTAAAAAGTAACGAGTCCCGTTTTCATTCGCAAGTTTTTGCGACTTTTACTTGTCGGAGTCGCGGAGAATTTCATTCTCCCTTTGAGAAGGCTCGTATTATGAGAACAGCACATAACAGGTATTTACGGTGTTCGGTTGAGAGAAGCTCCTTTTATACGTTCTGACAAGCTGCAACGAACTCGGTATCGGTGAAATAAATTGGAATCGTGAGCAGGGATCTGATGTTTCTATCGAAATTTGCCGGAAGCCTTCGTAGATGACGTTGTCGGCTATGAAATCGCGGCCTGATAAATCGAATGTCCGACGACGATGACGGAAGGGCTTCGCAAACACGCGCGAGGAATCTTAATTAATGAAATAAATGAGTGAATTCATCGGGAAATTCCGGTGGGAAATCGCGAAAATTAACGATGGATATTTGCTTTTGTTCTGGTTTTCATTTTTTAATGATCGGTGGAAATATTAATTCTTTTGTGAAAGGGTCTTGTGACGAATCTGACTGACGATTGTTAGATTAGGGTTTGGTTATGGTTTGTTTAACAGTAGTTTGTGTAGTTATTAATGATTTATCCTAGTGATGGGGTCAATTAGGCATGAGGAAAATTAGGCAATTTGTAGTGAAATTGATTACGAAGATACTATATCACATGCAGTGAAATACATGTATAGTTATGATATATGTTAAGATGTGGTGTAAGGTTTCCATAGGTAGACATTTTTTAATTTTCCAGTTTAAGAACTTTTAATTGATAAACCTTTTAATTATCAGTGAATTAAATTGTACAAATGATACAAATGACCCAAATTATCAAATACCTAGTCAATACCAACAGAATTACCGAAAGTGACACGACTTCATAGCCAAAGCTGAATTTAGCAGAGGTGTATCATTAGGATTCCCAATAAGTGAATATAACTCTATCGAAATGAATTTTACTTCGAACTAGACTTTACTTTACTATGCACTTGATAACTGTTCAAGAATGTCTAAATACTTCTATGTCTACTAGACAACCTTATTAATTTTTTAATATCTTTCTATTATGCAAGAATATTGAATTACTATGCAAACTTGAGGTGAAGTAAAATTTAATCTTATGGTAATTTTCAGGATTTCACTACATTAAATCAAATTTGTGGTAACAATCACTAATTATTATCACTGCAACTCTTTATTATTTTCTTACAGTATCAATTTTTGACAATATTCGAACGCATACTTTGACAATTTTAATTCATGATACTCACAGTTCAAATGTGATCTCACTCAAATTTTTAATGCGCTTCAAGTTCAAATCCAATTATAATTTGCATAGTCAAGACTAAATACAAAATGGACATTTCAACTATTTTTATTCAACTGTCTTCATTTGAATATTGTTGTATGAGCGTCGCAGCGTCAGCAGTAGCGACGATTATACGGCGCGTGGAATCACTAGGATTTCCAACAAGTGAATACAAGTGGATTGTATCTAAATGAATTTGACTTCGAACGACTAGATTTTGCTATGTACTTGATGACTCGAGAGAGTCTCTTCGAAGAATTTTTACGTTTTACAAAAGCTCGGAGTGGGTGTATTTTTGTGACATTGGTGAGGGACACAGTTTCTAATTTTCTATTGGTTTAGCTAAAATTCGGGTGGAGATGGAAATGCGAGTGACGTATGAAGCGGGTCTTTTCCCCAAAGTGACCTAAGCAAGTAATAAAATGCAATACCTCGACACGTATAGAAAACTGCAAACAAAAAACTACTGTCAAGGTTAAGTGTTCACCAGATGTGACTAACAATAAAAAAATACTTGCTAGAATGTGACTCCGTGGGTCTTATTGCTGCTACAGGCACTTGAAACTACAGATGTGAAAGAACGAAAAATCGTTAAACCCATCGCTAAAAACTTGTAGTATGTAATCCTCTTGCTCCGATATAAATTCTACGAGCTAACCTTCCTGTATCTGGTTAATCAAACTTTTTGTCGTAAGAGATATTGCTAACTCATTGACATAAGTGACCCGGGAGGGCGTTAGCAAAGAAACTTTCATTTTATCGAGATTCATACAGCAATTTGAAGTTTTATCCGTCCTCTGTTCTCGACAGGCGTCACGAGTTTTCGTGGAATCCGCGTTCTTTCTTCGGAAAGAGGAGAATGCAGGTCCTCGTTCTCCGAGGAAATATTTTATAATATGTAACCTGACACAAGGAACTTTGACGAGCAAAGTGTCCCGCCGACTTTGCCGTCGTTGCGATATATCGAGGCTCGAGCAGCCTCGTTCGATCTTTTCTAAGCTTCGAGGAAACTTGAAGAGGCAGCTCTGACACGTTCATTTCTTTTTGGAATGCAATTATTTAACTGAAAATACGTGAAAATCTGTGATATATGAAGGGGAAAATTTCTGTTGTTATAAATGATTGATAATCGTTTAAATAAATGTAAGTCAAAAAAATATTTTGAAATATAGTAAAGAAAATTTTTAATAATGAAAATTCGTTATTGGATGTTGTGAGACAACGTGAGTCTTTAAAGTGAAGTGGTATTAACGTTTATCTCTTTAATGGAAAATTATTACAAAGTAAAATGAAGATATAAAATGAAGTAATGAAAGGTGAGGTAAAATCGAATAGACTTTATGAATTTATGAATCCCAAAATTGCTGAGTTCCTAAATTCTCAAATTTCCAAATTTCCAAATTTTTTAAGTCATCAAACTCCAAAATTTCTAACTTCAGAAACTTGAAAGTCTCAAATTTCCTTGTACTTCCAAAGCAGCCACTGAAAGACTGGTATACAACTCTCAAAGTAATAAATATACCAATATTGAACTTTCAAGCAATTCGTTTTGTATCAGATTTCAGTAATAACTTTTTCTGAAAACAACCGATGTTAAAAGATACAAAAATACAATTTTCCATTTACGTGAATCTTTTTTTTTTTTATAAATTGAACAGCTTCTCCGTTGATTCAATGCAATTTCGATATTTCGAAAATAATTCCTCGGATGGTATTTATCAACGAGTGAAACGATTTCTGTGAAATCGAAACGATCAAACTGTTAACCGTCGATCCCGACATATTGATCTCAATTCGAAAACCCCCGTTCGAGGTACGAAATTAGAAAAAAATACATACTTCGATACGGAATGAATCCAATAATAGTGTGACGGTGCAGCTATCTGAATATGCAAATGAAATATTCATGAGAGTTTCGTGACGCGGAAACCCTGATAAAAATGCATTTATTACACGTTATATAAACAATACCTCGATGTATAAATATTCGGCGAACGTGTGTGCGTATATTCAAATGTCAGTTATCTTCATACATTATCAGAAACATATTCATCTCGCAAAATCTACAAATGTTATTACGCTTTCATTTCAACGAATATCACACATCATAATTCCCATATTTCATAATTCATTGCTCGAAAAATCACGCATCAAATTAACGATTCTTATCTTTCTGAAATAAAATGGTAATCAAAGTACACTTGGTTCATATGTTTTATTTCTCATAGATTGAAATTTCACCGCTGTGTACTCGAGACTGTTTCGTCGGTTTTAGTTAATTAAAGTGATCCTGAACAAACGGGATTAGTATGGTTAATTGGAAAGCTTAGCACAACTCGGGGACAAACAGATTAAACTATCAATGCCCAGTTTCGGTCATCAAGCAGCTGCTTTTCAGGGAACCTCGTTTAAGATTAATTGCGGGACACCGAGATCCAATTCTATATTGGTTGCTCTTAAAAATTTGATTAAATGATTAAACTTCGCGTTGAAAAACAAACTATTCTCTGATTTCCTATTTGAAGTCTGTTCGTGAAATATTATTGCGGTTCAGTTAAAAAATACTTAGATTTATTTTACACGAACACTTTATTTTTGCTCCCTCGATATTTATTGTCAAAAACAACATCAGCTTTGACGTTGTTTTTATATTAAATATTTGCGATCAGTATTTTATATTTGTTTATAATGAAAATTTTGTGCAAATTAAATTTGTATTTTCCTTAAAAGCTAACGATTTGTGTGTGTCAGTGTATTCAGAATTTAGAGTAACTTTAATTAACGTCTTTCAAAAAATTGGCCATCTATCCCCAAAATAAGGCACACATAAATATTCAATTAGTCCTTCGTAAATAACATTAAATTACTTATCTATAAAGTTTCCTAAATAAGTCCACATCTCAAAAAGATTCTACGAACCACATTTTCTTGTGCAGATCAGGTACACATTTCTAAAGAAATATTATGTCAGCCTCGTCGATTTCAAGAAATATCAAAGGCACGTGGAGCAAACGTCGTTTCCAATGATCGTTGGAGAGTATTCTACTCACCCAGAAGTGGCTTGTATATCGACTTCAGGCCACGAGGGTCTCCTCCTGCAGAACATCAAAGGTGGTCGATCCGCTGAACCGGTGCTTCTGCGAAAAGAGCCAACCCTACGGGGTGAGGTGCTACCCGACGCACTTCCGGTGGCCGGATGTACCGTCAAGCCGGGGCTAGTACACTCTAGGGTCCGTCTTCTCGTGGACAACGAACGGCTATGGGAGGACGTGACGGTGCCAGGGGGTGGCACCACCTGTAAAGATATAAATGTTAGGACACCAGGGACAGCTCGATGATACGAGTGCTCGTAATTTAAATTTCCTTCTTAACATTTAATAAACACTTTTCTTTCGTTGAGTCCATTGACTTACACTACCGTCCATAAGTATCCGGACACTTGGTTTCGTTACATAAAACATAGTTGAACTTTGTACGAAAGGTATTTAGGGTTATCATATCATTTGTAATAATTATTATTATCTTTTTTGAGGTGTCATAACGTAATAGAATTAATTTTTAAGTACAAGTTATACAATGAAAGTGTGAAAGTAAAATTCATGTCCAGAAGTACAAAGTCCAAATTTGTGAATCTAATGAAACGCTTTCGATTCTAAAAAAAATTTTCATTTCTACTGTGTTTCATTTCTATGGTGCAGAACGTATTCAGAGGGTTCTTCGATATGTTTCAAGTGTTTGTAAACTGTTGGTAGATGTTTAGGTTCCCTCAATGGAGATAAGAATGGAGGTAACGCTACGCACTCGACAGTTTCGGTTTAGTTCGTCTGTAGCTTCTTTTCCATCGAGATACAAGTTCCAAACGAGAATTATCAATCGAAAAACGTTCCAGTATTCTGACCTTCGCAGAAAAAAAATCGATTTT